AATTTTCTACATTATGGACTGATTAAATCTGCCTGTGTAATTGATACCACAAAGAAGACGAGAAAATACGGTGCGTTGTTCTGAAAGGACGAACATGACCTTCAAATCTCTCCTGTATATATACTCAACTTATACGTTATCCTGGGCTTTTGAATTCTATTGTAAAAAAAATTTTTTTTTTTTAAAGTTGATTGAAATTTGTGTATCAGCGACAAATAGAATTTCACGAAAACATCCCAGAAATTTTATGTTTAAAAATATATGCAATCACGGTAAATCATGGTGATTAAATTCAAAAATTTCTTTTTGTAATAAACCTACGTCTCTAATTGTATTAAAAACAAAAAAAAAGTTGTTAGTCGCATCAGATAAAATACAAAATGATTAAAACAGAGAATACGACGAACGTGTCGAATCACCGAAAGTTCACGATATTTAGCAGTGACAGAACCTTTCATCAACTGAGATTAGAAGTGATGATTTTGTACCCAAATAAATAAACTAGAGTAACTAATACGATGGTTCTTTTCCTTCTGATCGAATTACACTGAAAGTTTAAGTTTCGTAACGCGACATTGACCGTGTTAAGCTGGCTCTCATTTTTATCGATCAAACTGGTTTATTTCTTGTGTTATTCAACAGCTCGTTAAATCCCGTAACTTAGCCTAAATATTACAAGGCTGAATTCTTATCAAAATTTCAATCAGTAAGGCGGCATTATTAATACGTAAATACGTATAATGTTACAGAGCACCGATATAAGAACACACACGTACGTGTGTATACGTTTTCATCGATAAAATGTAAAAAACTGCTAACATATTAATTACATTGTAATTATATAATTATATTATATTATATATTAATATAACAAATGTTACGTTCGATTGGATAAAAATATTTTTAAAAAAATCGACAAATATTCTGCAAATGTTGATTTTCTAACTAAGAAGTTATATTCTACGATCATTCGAATACTTTCACGTCCTGCTGAAAAATCTCGAATCGACTGATTTTCGGTGATTCGAACGTCGGAACCGTTGCAAAACCAGAAATCTCTAAAATATCATTATGTTATGTAAGCTCCTAAGACGATAATAACGTCGAAAGCGGCGAAATTCGTGGAAGACGTGGACAACGCAGACAGCGGGAAAACAGAAACGTCAAAATAACTGAACTGACCCGACTACCGGTCGCGAAACATTCGCAGGCAGTTTAGCGGGCCGGTTTATTTTCAGTATTGCCGCGGTATCGTTTTCGCAGTCGAGGCGAGCCTTCCCTCTATTTCCGAACCGGCAGAAACGATTCACGCTTCTCGAATTGTTTCGCAGAAACAATCGAAACAGAACGAATGCCGATTCACCGTGGCAAAAAGTTGCTCTTCCAGGTTAGAAAAACTCGATCGCAGTGCTGCCAAATAGCAAAGCTACCGCCCTAAAGTAATTCGACACGCATGCGCGGCTCTAGCCGAGACTCCTCTTCGATTCTAACGTAAATTACATACCCATAGAAAAAAAAAATTTCAAACCGATGGAATTATAGCACATCGCTTCGGGATTCAAATTTGCGTAAAAACAATAGCGAAGCAGTATATATTATGGTGAAAGACTGACACGCCTAATCTTCGTTAACGTCTCAGGCTCATGACCTAACATTTCGTTGTTGTGATCGGAATTTATAAAAAATACAATTTTAAGAGAAACAACATCGAAAGTTTTCTCTTCCAAGCTCACAACGCGTGAAATTATACTACATTATAGAAATATAACAGTAAAATAAACTTACTTTTCTAAGCTTCTCCACTTCTTTGATATCCTCCGAGGATTGCACGGACTGCAAAACAGGAAACAACATTAGACGCAAACACACGATTACTTCTAAATATAGAAATTAATTTCTAAATAACATCCGCGAAATTGTTCGTCTGCCGTAGTGTACGCGACGAGCTTCTAACCGATAATCGATACAAGGGACGATTCGCTAATAAAACTAATAAAAAAAAAAAAATCACCGGACCACGTAACGTTTCACACAGCACCGATGTTGTACATAATAAATAATCTATATTTAATCCGCGTCTATGCACGTCCAAAGAAACGTACACACAAATCACCCCTGATTAACCTCTTACGCTAGTAACTGGTTCACGGACCATAACGAGTGACCAAACCGCATACAATAATTCGTTTTCTTTTTGAATTCATCTGTATATCACTGGACAGAAATTACTTAAGAAGTAACAAATTTATTATTTGTTTTGTCTGGGTTATATTCAATATATTTAAAACTGAGAAGATATTGCAATTTTAGGCCAAATATTCTCGACGTGCGTGGCACGTCATTCCAGCGTAGAAGGTTAATTGATGAGAAAAGAAAAGCAAAAAAGAAGGATGTTTACCTCGTCCGTTTTCGGATTGTCCTTGTCGAAGACATGGTCCACGGTGATGTTCGCCGTTTCCAAATTGACTAGGGAATGGTAATCGTCGCCGCTGGCTTTTACATCCTCGTAATTCCTATTGTTGAGGAATCCGTATTCCAACGACCTCGAGTCGCGGCAGTTGGTCACGAAAGAACGCGCGAAACTACTTTTGAAAAAGTGTCGCCGAGACACTTTGTTACCGAGTGCGAACTCCACTTTCGGCGTTTCGGTCATGATTCTAGACGAATATATATATGTGCCGGCAAATATCGTGCAAAAAAAAGCTCGAAGCTGCTGTTCGTAAAATGTAGGCTACACCCTTTCTGATAGAATTTCCCCAGACCCTTTCTGAGATGATAACCCGAATGTTAATGAACGACTATGAGAGAAACGATCTAGTGGCACATTCCACGAACGATGATGAAAAAATAATTCAACGATCTTTACTGCTCTCGTGGTTTTCACTTATTTTTCATGGCCGCTCTAATATATCTCGACGCACATGGAGTCAAAAGCTATACCGGTATAAATTTGGTAATAATTGGAAATTACCGCGTGTAGAACAAATCGTATACAGTCTGAAAAAAATTTGTATTACACTACACTTTTGATAGACACTACACAACAGCTGTGCGTGTTAAACTGACAGACGAGACTATCCAGTTGCGCGTTCTACCAACGAACTCAACCCTAACCCGAGCGCTTTCCAGCAAAGACTGATTGCTGACCGAAGGCAACTGCTGTGAAGTACGAATTCGCAAACGGGGTAAGGGAGGGGATTCACGTGTTGCCGTGCTGCACATGCGCTGACCTAAAAACTACATGCCACTCGATTCATCGAGTAATTACGCTTATTTATGTTTTATATTACATTTGATGATTTAATTTTACAGACGATATGATTTTTATGTACTTTTGCATAAATTGCAAACATGTGTAGTAATTTATAACATCATTTACAGCAATGACAATTAAAATATTTATCAACGGCTGAAATTTATTCGCAAATGCTTATACACGTTTTAATTACGAAATATATCGAATTTTTGTTTCAAATAGTTTTATAAATAGTTAAAAATTAATGTAGGTTTTTTAAAATTAACATTTTAATGTTTACGCGTGTAAAATTACACAAATTGTATTTAATTGAATTAATTATTTTAGTAAATTTACAACTAGGTGGCGGTAAGATATTGGTCCATTGTGTCCCACTAAGATTGTTTCCATTCTGCGTTAAGTACAAATTTATGATATGATTTTAATTATTTTAATCGCAACAATCACTCACATTCTCTTGATTTTCGGCTAAACAGGGCTGTTTATTACTGAACATTTTAATTATATTAATTATATTTTTGAACGATATATGAAGTATAATATATATAATCTATTCCTCGTCAATTTCTATTTAACAGTCTTGTAAATAAACGAAACAAACAAAGAAAATCAATTGAAACGAATCTAGTTTTAAGTATGAATTTTCTGTATGTCAATTAATATTGACTGTTGTAACGATTAGTTAAACGTATCACAATATAGATTTTAAACTGTTGATATGAAATTCAATAGGTTAATCGACTAGACTTATCCAACATAACCTCCAACGAGGTTATAAATACAGAACTGTTGTCTCGTGTTGTACCGTAATTCAAACTGACAAACATTTTCAAAAATGCCACGATTACCTCTGCATCCCTCATCGGGGACTGGTATTTCGCATAGATTTTCTAAAACGATACGATTTGTTCGCTTCGGATGTGCCAATAGACCTTTTTATCATATTGTTGTTATGGCCGTAAGTAACATTTTCTCAACATTTTCTTAACTATCTTTTAAAATTTTGCTCATTCAGCTTTGTAATTATGCAAATCGTCGAAATTTTTCACTTTTCTATCAATCAGTCGCATTTTTTTTACTATAATTTTGTAATAGTTTCTTTGTGGTGTGTTACAGTGTTCATGATATGATTCAATTTTATTTCAGACTAAAATTGGGCAGCATAAACCTCCGATAGAACAATTAGGCAGCTATGATCCTCTGCCGAACAAGTATAACGAAAAATTAATTTCATTAAATTTTGAGAGAATAAAATATTGGCTAGGACAAAAGGCATTAGTATCAAAACCAGTGGCAATAATGTTAGGACTTTGTGGTTACTTTCCAATACACCCAAGAACTTATATGAAAGCATGGAGAAATCGAAGGAAAGCTGCTGCAGAAGCCGAAACAAATAAAAATTTAGAGTCAGAAGCAAAATCAAAGGCAGAAGCTGCAAGCTAACGTCTTTTAGTTATTTTATTTGTATCATATATTTAATTTGTAAACAATGTACGCATTTAAATAAAATTGTTACAAAATGATATGTTATATTGGTTTAAAGTAATATTGTATTAATGAGAATTTAAGGAACAGAAATTGCTATACAGTAAAAGTAAAAGAGACGCATGTACCAAATTTTTTATCTCGGTACACGTTTAATACGATAGTTATTGGCATGTAATAATTAAATATACATACAAGATGTATTCCAGATGTTTCATCGTCTCGAGATCTGAATAAAAAAAAAGACAAAAAAAAATATTTCCCCAGGTGAGGCTCGAACTCACAACCCCGGCATTGCTCACAAATTTACTGTCTTATAAGTACCGTGCGCTAACCGATTGCGCCACTGGGGATTTGTACTTTGCAGTTTCTTATTTATGTTTATTAGGAGACGAATGAAAAATATTGTTTGAAATAAACAATAATTATTAGATACAATTTAATACGAATACAAGAAAAACATAATATCATAAAAAAGAGCAATTTCACTAATTCGTGCTTCTGAACCTAACCTGCATGTGACAGTGTTTAGAATATAAGCAAATTTAAAATAAATGTTTATTGATTTCGTTATGGATACATTACTCGATAATAATTTATTAATTGTTTCCTAAATGATTTCTATCTTCGTATATGTCAATAGCAAGGCATAAATTATTCCATAAATCAATGAGATTCTCTTTTGTAAGATTTGGTTCACAAAATTTCAATAACAAAGTTTGATTTTCTTCTGCAAATGTTACTCCTACAATTTCAAAACTATGATGAACTGCAGAAAAAACGAGAACACTGATTGTATTTATTACCTATTTCTCCAGAATTTATAATAAAATGATGCTCGATTCGCCAATATCGTTCCAAAAACAATATTGACCATTGAAATATCAAATACACTCGTTTTTTGTTTTCAGTTGAATGTACATGTACCAAAATCCCACCATTTTCATCTGTACACTCTTTACAGCTTACATAGTTCTCAGCAACCATCTTCTTAAGTATCTTGTTTCTTAGAATACTTTGCTCGTTATATTGTGAAATTGCTAAAACAAACATTTAACAATATTCTTTACTCATCTTTTTCAAAAGATTATACGATTTATAAATTACCAGATGTAAGAAACGAGAAGTTTTTCATTTTTGTCATATTTTGAACCCAAGGTTCAATTTCCAACATATAACATTTGTCAATGTTTATAAAATGGCATGTTATGTCACAAATTTCAAATTCTTTTTCACCCTATGATAAAATAAAAAGATAATATATCGAAACAGTTCATTCTGTTGTGGAAAGAATATTGACTGTGTTATATACCTCCAATTTCACTGTCAACTCTACATAGAAATTTAATGTTTTTGTTACCAAATAAGTTGCATATTTATAAATATTATCATGTAACCATTTCTTATCTATATTTTTAAATGTTATGCCAGAAACTTGACGAGAAAATTCACATACATTATGCGAATATATTCCATACTCTTCTTGTAATTTTTCTTCTCTATTATCAGTAGATACTATAATATCTGGTAATCTGAATGTCGAAATAATAAATGTTAATATCTCAAGCAAATGATAAATATATGATATAAAAGAATATGATACAACTTTAATGTAACAACTTGTTCTTCACTATCCTGCTCCTTTAGTTTCTCAATCAAACTGTATGCTTTTGCAACAAGGTCATCTTTTAATTTATTTAGTGCAATCAATTCAGGATCTTCCATTATCCTAGAATGAAATTAGACGTAAGTTATTAAATGACTAGATAAATAAATATTTCTACAAATTTTATTTTATACACTGAAAAAATAATATATATTTAACAGAGTTACAAGCAATTTTAAGATTATTTATACATAAAATTTAAAAATTGCATTAGAATTAAAATATACTGAAAAATAATTTACTATTATTAAATTATATTCTTAAAGTTATAGCCAATATCTTCTTGATTATGAAAAAATTGCAAATTAAATATCACAAGTGGAAATACATAAATATGGATGTTCGTAATCGTATATAACTTGGTTTCCACTCGTGGCATAAACATAACCTTAATTTACATGAACATCCGTGTTTATGTTAGTACGAAAGTATGTAAACTTTCATATGTAACTTAACATTATTTCATTTTTGATACAAGTAATTTACATGATAATCATTTACTTATACTTCGTATACAGCAAGAAAATTATACAAAATCTGTCATTAGTTTATCATTGAGGAATAATTTCATTCGACTTACAAAGGACGTAAATTAATGAAAAAGTTTTAATGTTTTAAATGGTAGAGTAAAAAGAATTGATAAATACTGTTAAAATGGACGATGAAACATTAAACAAGTGAGTTTATACCTTAGTTAGTTTGTACCTGAATATACGAATATTAGATCGTTGTAGATTTATATACCAAATATCTTGAAATATGAAGGTTAACTTGAAAGTTTACATATACATTTCATAGAAATAATACTATATTTTCAAAATTGTAAACAAACATGAAACTCCATACAAAATCAACTAATATTCATTTGTAATTTTAAAAATTATTTATTATAGCCTAGTAAATAACTTAGATAATGTAATTTTATTTTTAGACTTGCAGTTGAGGCATTATTAGAAGAAGCAAAGCTTGGAGCAAAAAGAGCAGAAATAATGGGTCCTAGTGGATGGATAAAACCAAAGGAATCTATTAATAAAAGATTTCTTCATTCCACATTACGTAATGTTGTTCTTTCAAATAAGTATCAATTGAAGAGAAAAAGTGACAAACAACTGCGTATGTCTGAGAATACATTGAAGTAATTTCTTTCTTTTGCTATTTGTATGTTAAATTGCTTGCAACATTTTTTGTTTTCTCTCTGTTAATTCAGAATTAAATTATTCTAATAGCATTGAAACCTATATCATTTAACATCTACTGTAAGTTTCATTGAACTATATGCAAGTAATTTAGAACAAACGATATTCATTTAATTAAGTAATCTGAAAAAGGATTAGTAGCAAAGATATTTAAATTGATGTACATCTATAGAAATGCTGCAATGAAACTGTAATGAATGTAAAATTTAAGAAATACGAATAATTGACAAATAATTTTAAGTATAGAAGTATTACGCGATGTAGTAACATCTGATATAATATATTGTACAATACAAAGTAATAATAAGAATTGAATAAATAAATTACAATTTATTCCTTAGATTAGTATTATGAAAGGAACAACGTAGAATAATTGTTAATGAAAATAAATAAAATAGAAAAGAAAGTGTTATTCCTCATTTGAAAAACTATAAATTTTCAATTAAAAAACCATGATATTTCTACATTGATTCGACTTAGAGATATCAAAAATATAAGATTAATAGGGTTTACAATTATATATGTTTTTTATATACATATGTATCTTTAGATATCTTGTTAGATACTATTAGATAATGTGTTATATAAAAAATTAATATACTCAACATAATGTTTTAAGTAAATAATGGAGCAATTAGAATGGAATTGCTTTTTAATTAAAGAGTTCTGTTGTGACTTGTGAAGATATATCTTTTAAAAGAAATTACACACAATTGTAAGCGTGATTGGTTATTTTTCCCAAAAATTTATTTCATTTACTTGCGAGTTTAATTTTATTTCACAGAAACGGCATGAAAACACACAATTATTTTTTACATTATATCAAAGATTAATACAATCATAACAGCAGAGCAGCGATAATATTTTAATTGTATCATTGATCATAGTTGTCCATAGAATCACGTGGTTACCACTTCCGTTGTAGAGAACATCGTTCTTTCACGTTCGCTTTTCGCACGGTAAAGAAGTTGAGAAACTAATTATCTCGAAAATATACGATAAAATATAACATTTACTTGTTCTTCGAACCATGGCGGCCAGCATAAGGGGACTGTGTAAATTAAATGTTTTTCTAACAAACCACTTGTTATTTAAACATAACTTTATAAATGGTATGTAATATCCTTAACCTAAATCTGTACTATATAAATTTAAGTCGGAATAGTATGTTGGAAAATTACCGCGTCGTGAAACTTAATTTATGAAAATTATTACGAGAGAAATTTTGTTTTAAACATCGATTCCTCAGAACCTTTAAAGTTCATTTCTGACAACGTTCATTTTTTGGTTTTTTGATAGCTGGAATTCGGCATCTTTACACGGAACGAGACTTGGGTATAACGTTGTACGAGAATACAAGATTTATGTTCCGCAATCAGTTTATGACGATAGAAAATACGTTTCGTGAGAAAATGAAGGAAATTTGTGAGGACGAGAAAGGAACAATATACACAGAAGATTTAAAAGCAATGATACATTTGGCACAAGCCGAAGAGAATGATATGCATTTAATAAAGACCATGTTGGAGAAATATATACAGAATGTTGAAGAAAAGAAGTATGGTAGATACGTGTTTGGGCCAGTCATAATGAGAATGTTTTATTATTTGAATCAGCCGCAGTATGCTTTAAATGCATTTCAAAACGAATCTTTGAAAGAAAGTTTTGATTACCGCAGGTCCTTCCGTATTTTACTGTGTCTGTTATATAGAAATGATATGTTTGCGCAAATGCGAGAAGTGTACGACCAATGTGTGGAAAGGAAAGGCATGGATTTTATTGGCAGTTCTGCTGTCTTAATTTATGCTGCGTGTTTGAAGGAGGTAATAGCAATTCTTAATTAATTCGATTACTTATATAATAATTTGATGAACATTTCAATCTCTTTAATTAGAATACCCCAGAGTCGTTAGAATATGCTTTAAAACATTGGAAACAACAGTTTGATAAAATGATCCCTTCAATAAGATGCTGTACAATAGTAGCAATGCTAGCATTAAAACATAAAAAACCTGAAGTAGCTTTGGACATATTAAGTACAGTAAATGTAGACAGAGTTCTCAGTGTCAGATGTCTTAAAATTATGGTTCACACTCATTTGGGAAGATACATACAGATAATCCCTATTATGAAGTACGCGTTAGAACAAGAAGTTGGTGTTTTCAGGCCACACCTTTTTTTTGCAGATGTGGTACGTAAAATTGGTATAAATTTAATTCAACTCGATATTGGTTTTCGTACGAAATGTGTTCCTTTATACCAATGTTACAGTTGTGTGAATTAGAAGAAAAAATAAAGGAAGTCGATACGGAAGAAGCCAAACAATTATTAAAATTAATAGACCAAGCGAAGAAACAAGATGTTGTTCAAACATCTGTAAGTCTACAAATTTTTTAATAACCTGTACCTATGTATCATTTGTCGTTAACGTATAATTTTTATTTGCCAAAGTGTACCCTGGAAGAATTTCTACTGAGACCCATGTCAATGA